AGAGAAGAGAGAGACGAGAGATGAGAGAGAGAGAGAAGACGAGAGAGAGACAGAGAGAGAGAGAGAGAGAGAGAGAGAGAGAGAGAGAGAGAAAAGGGGGGTAGTCAGTAAGTGAATGAATGTCTGTATATACGGAGTTACTTATCTTTTCTTTTTTCTTATGAAGTCTTTTTGACATACAACAAAAATGTAATTTACAATGCACAAATACCTAGGCAAATGGTTGCACTATGACATCATTTGTTAATTCAGTCCATTGCCATGAAATACATACAAGTACTTTTGCCAGCAACAACAAACACAAATACATTTGCAATGTCTGCAATACCAAGCAGCAAATGAATTGGTAAGGATTCATCTCCTCAGTGAGATTTGCATGTTGTTGTAGGTAGAATAGTGGAGTCATTACCACACTCATAGGGATATTATTTTGGGAACCGAACCTGAATCATGGAACTTCAGATATGTCAGAGTGCAGGCATAGAATTATGGCAAATGATTTTGTAACAAAAATTAGTCACAGAAAGAAGTAACCTAGTAACCCATGTGTGTATTATGTAAAAACAAAGAACACAACTAAAAAATTATGATTTAACTCAACCCCTTCTTTAATCACTTTCTCACATTCATACACTTATAAATGGATTACCATGTATGGCTGAACCAATTATCATATCTTTCTGCATTTTGTCTTGCTATCAAAAAAAGTAAGTAGTATATTACTGTATAATGGAAAATACAGACAGCAACCACTTTGAAAACTATGGCAAGCACTCTGAAGTAGAAAATTTATGGAAATTGAAGGTGATACACATTATCTTATCTGCAGCTTTCCATTTGTAAATATAGATAAAAAATAAAGGTCAACCTGTCACTGTAAACTGCATTAGGAAAAAAAGGTCTGTGGTGTTACTTTTGAGATTACTGTAGTCAGCTTTCTATGAAATATTTTTTTTATTAATGTAGTATCTATGCTTAAAGTTCAGCATTTAACTATATATAGTTTTAGTCAATGACTTTACTTTATACAATGTCATACAAAGCTTGAATAGATGTACTATACGAGATTCGAAGTATAAAACAATCTAAAGAACCACATTAGGCCTAATCCATGCTTTCATTCTCTTCTGCAACACCCACAGCAGATTAGGCTTATATACGTAATCTTTTCTACTTCACTTACTTCAATACTTACACCTGGCATATTATTATTTATTATCTTTTTAATACATTGTACAAGAACTTTATCTGTTAAAATGCAACAACTAACACCACATTGCTTCCTTATATTCTAATACAACCCACCCAATCCTGGAAACTGTACAAGAAGGTTGCCAGTGAGTTATTAAATATGAATAGTCCTAAGACATCACCTACACATTAGTGATTCTACTGTGATATCTTGGTTTCACTGTAATTAAAATTATTCTCACCTACCTAAAAGATCTATGGTATGCCTAGTAGAGGTTATGATAAATAAAAAAGTTGTTAAAAATAACATTTCCTGCCCCTCATATATCTAATGGGGGTGGGGGATGAGTAAGGTTACCAATTTGTCAGTAAAGTGGTGCACTATTTGCTTTAATATTACTAATCTTCCAGATACAGTGAAAGGTTCAGTACCATATCCAGTAAGATAAAATATAAAAAGATCAATGGGACAAATAAAATGACTTCTGACACACTGACTAGTGACCATATGTTTGTTTACATTAGCATAGACACCATGCTTATCATCAGCCTTTTACTTTCACATCTGACCTATAGACACTAGCATGGCAGCCATAACTTTCATTGATGAGTATGACTTAGAGCTATCTCCTGACTACATTATTACCCAAGAATCTAATACACCGATCTTCTTATGAACTTTAGAACAAAAGTGAGATTCCATCAAAGAGAGAAACTTGGCTCAAAGCCTCTGATATAAAATTACACAGGGAAGAGAAATTCATGATTATGACATGATTGAGAAACTTCTAGGAACAAAGAAAAGGTCAAGGTCACTTGAGTGATGTGTGTTACATCCTGGTATGGCCTCCATTCCTTGTTCTATCTTAAAACACATAGTTTTCTGATTAATCCCTTCATAAACTATATACTTCCTGGTTGGAGATTTCAACTTTCCAGACACAATGGTCATCAAAAGCCAGTTTCATAACAAAGGTTGCACTTCAGACAAGACAAATATTAGAGCAACAATTCTTCAAAACATGGAACTAAAGAAATACATATAATAAGTGGAAAGAATGGATTGTTTGAATCCTTTTCAGGAAGTACGTATAATATTGCTTTTTATATCTTTCTGCACAACTAATTGACACCTGAATTAAGAGGATTTCCATGGCCCAGCCATAACCCAAACTCACTCTTCCAACCAAGCTCATATTATCACAGCTTGAATAAAGATCTCATAAAGATGTATAAACTAAGCTAACAAAGCTAAAATGTAATATTGTCAACTGACATTTCTATGTACTATAACAAAATATATACTAACAAAACACTTTCTTTCCCTTCCTACAAAAATACTAATAAACAAAACACTGAGAATGACCTTGAAAGGATTTCCTGGACATCTACAGTACCTTACAGAAAAATACTTTTATCCCATGTAGTGATTTGGTTAGTGTTTTCTCTAAATTCACTTAAACCTTGATATGGTCTGTGAAGGCCTAAGATCTTTGGGTAACACTGATTAACGTCTGCAACAAGCGACTACCTTGATTTTCGAATCTGAGAGTACTCTGGTAAAAGGCCAACAAATATTAGCCCATATATTCTACCAAGACAGAGGTTATACGACTTCCTTGGCAACATTATCCCAAAAGGAACCAGAACAGGTCTAGTTTGCCAAAATATACATGACAGAAAACTGTTGGTCTTTGCCTGAGCATGCTTGAGGTGCATGGGCTGGGGTGATCACTTGACCTTGTGTGCTACTGTATCTGACATGAGATTGTGTGCTTTCCATCAAAAGATAAAAGCAAAATGCATGAGGCTGTAACAAGAATGCATTTAATGTAATCACGAGAAGAAAATTAAGTAAAAAAAGCCTAGGTGTGTTTGTCTGATTTGCCAAAAACGGACAACCAGAACTTTTCATACATATTTACGTCTCCGTAAGCATGGACTTCCCCTATATAAATCAGTACTTTGCAGAAACTCCTTGAAAATTGACAAATACCAGCAAAACACTACAAGCAACTTTCTCCAAACCTGTGAAATGGCAAATCAAATCCACAGGTTAGTGCTATCTAAATATAACTCCGTTTGTCTTCTACACCTATTTCTCTTTTCAATATTCATTTTGCATCAAAAGGTTAGTAGAACAAAATATAATATTGATTTCATATACTCTTCACCATGACCTCACCATTATGATCTAAAACCTACTTTCATTCTTTTAACCGAATTACATAACAAGGTGACCCAGCACAACATGATGTACTATTGCTTCTGGCACTAAAAGCGAAAATTGTCTGCAACATCGTGGGTGATAGTCCTACTCTACCCTAATGTGCCCTACAGCAACTAATGCAAAAGCACGCAAGCAGGCATTGTGTGGCAGCGGAAAATAACAGCAAAATGGAATGACAGCAGACGAGGCGAGAGAATTCCTTTGCAGATCTTAATGGTGAGTAAAAGGGCTGACACTGACAGTGGCAGATAAAAGTATGAGAAAAAAAGAAAGAAAAAATAAATAAGAGAGAGAAAAGAAGAGGGAAAAGGACCACCTCTGGCGATCTAACCCATGCCAGAAGCAGGTAGTGTGGCGGGGAGGGTCCCCCCCAAAGGTCCTGTGAGGGGCGAGAGAACACCCCGTGCCTTGGCCCCGAATCACAACCGAGGCACAGAATTACCTTTGAAGTTCTTGATGGCGAGCACCTTCTTCTCGGCGCCCTGCTTCTTGCCGAGGACCGAGGGCTGCTTGCTGACGCCGTTGGGTGCGGCCACGGAGGAAAAGTTTGCCACTTTCTGACTCTCCATGATGTCACTCTGTCGACAGACCTTCTTCTGCAGGTGCGGGCGGTCCGGCGAGCCCGAGGAAAGCCTTTTTCTCTGTCCGTTTGAAACGCTCTCACTGCTCACAAAGGCTGGCGGCGCCCTCGGGGAAGACATCATCCTCCTCTACGTCCTCATAACAGTCTCTTTGGGGACTCTGGCCGCGACTCGAACGTACTACGATCGCCACCCAGGTCATCTGCACGTCCTGCCCACGAAGGTTCCCCGCCAGGTCATGTCTGGAGGCGAAAATCAGGCGCAGACGAAGGACGAAGGCGAAGGAAGGAAGGGAAGATGCAGGGTCCGTGCGAGTCTCGAACGCCGCGTCCGATTCCCCTCCTGCGGGACTTCGCCGAGTGGTCAGCCTCCGAAACCCTGGCGAATGATCCCTTTGCCCTACACCTGTTCGGGTCACACGCCGGCCGGAATTAGCTACGTCGATCCCCGCCTAACCGAGATATTTATATATGTCCGGCGCGATTCAAAAATTAAATCTGCATCGCATGTTCGTCACGGCGATCGAACAAACGGGGACATTCCGTGTGTATGTCTTCTTCAATATGCCTCGATCCTCCTCGTGTGCCTCGTCCGGGTGCCAAGGGAAATATTTCGAGCAAGTATGGCGAGAATCAGAGGCGAATGAAGTGTAAATCACAAGAATGACTAACGACAACTTGATGTTTTCAATTGGCATGTGTGAGGAATAAGGCCAACGAGAGGGAGACTAAGGGCGATCCAAACCCTTATAGTTGACAATAAATGAATTAAGGTTTAGTTCGTCAATTATGCATTGATGCCAGTTCATCTGCACATGACATTAATCATCAATTCACACTTCAATTCAGAAACACGTCAAAATCTTTAAAAACACCTTGCATATCAGATACATTTAAAAAAAAATTCTCCACGTCCGCAATACGAAGTGAATAGAGAGGATCCAAATCCTTATCTCGACCCAACAACGTTGTATATATCAATCATCTATAATCTCGCCTGTCTTGTACCAAAGAAAGGGGAATCGCAGCGTCGGTCTCCCTGTTTTCTCTAATTTTCTGCCTTCGCTGGAGTCTCTGGACCGTCCACCAGCGCGTGCTTGGCGGGAGTTGAACACCGGGGCGATCTGTGGTCCATTCTTCCCTTGACTGAGTGTGAGAGACGTCTTATTCCTCTTGAAAAACATGCCTTGGTGACTAAGAGGCAGACATAGATTTTGACACCTTTCATCGACTTTTTTTTGTTGATTGATAATAAATATTTTGCTTGTCAGATAATTCATTTCTCTTTTGCTGACAGATATTGTGTTTGTCAATTGATCGGTATTTTTTTGTTGACAAAGACTATGTTTGGCAAATGATAGGTATTTATATGTCAGACTTTGTTCTGTGATAAATATATTGTTGCTGGCAGAGCCTTCCTTTGTCTAATAAATACTATCTTTTTGGTGATGAAGCTCTTCTTGTCAATGAGCATATTAATTTTGACTGTATTTGTCAAATGATTCTATTTTATTGACAGTGATTGTCAGAACTTTTTTTTGTTGTTCACAATTATTGTGTGAGATTAAGAATATATTTTTGAGGGCTAGAATGTCCAGTGATTTTTTTTTCAGAAAGCTACTATGTTTGTCAAATGATATTTTATATTGGTAGACTTGTGTATGATTATTTATTTTGACAGGTACTGTTTCAGATTTTTTCATTTTGTTGTTAGAGGCCTTTAGGCTTATAACATCTATAAAGAGATCCTGCTCTCACCTATAAATGACCATGTTTTCCTGCACTATTGTGAGATTATTGCCATGAATAGACATATAAGAATATTCAGTTGCATAAGCTTATATGATTAAATGAATATATAGAAAATTCAGGAAGCAGACAAAAAGAAAAAGAAAAAGAAAACAAAAATAAACCAATTTTAAAACAGCAAGTGTGTGTGCTCTGAAACACATGTAATAAACTTGAGCCAGAATCAGAAAGGTTATGGATATTTACCCTTTTGCCTCATTTGGCATCCAGTGTTGCCATAGTCTATAAATGCCCTCAACCTGTATGACATGTTATTTTGCCATGGCTTGTTGGAGCCCCATTCTGTATGGGATGTGTTCTTGCCATGATGACTATCTACAGACTGACTGTTTAATGTTATTTTGACCCAATAGGTATCACTTCTGATGATGTTTCATGACTGGTTGATTATTGAATGTTATGTGATGTACATAATTATGTATGTAACTATGGTGTATAATAATGACATATATAATTATGACATGTAATCAGTTGATTTGATGATATTTGATTGTGTGGATCTGACACACTTTGACCTGAATGGCTGGAAAGTAGCAATGGCTTTAATTTGTGGATTAGGGTACATGGTGTGACCTGATTGGGTAGTCATTGCAGCCATGGAAGGTTGAAGCTTTCACTCACTCTCTCACTCACATCAGCAACCACAGCCATCCATGTCGACAGCTCACCTGTTGAACTCAGGCTCCTCCTCAGAGGATGACTCTGGGAATGAGGTAATCACTAGTGATGAATCCGACTTCGATTTAGAGTTGGAGGCACAAAGTGATGATGAGCTTGACTTTGTATCAACATACAACACAACTGTGGACTCTGCACTGGATAGTGATGAGCCTCTCTCTGTGCATGTCACAAAGACGTGGAACAGTAATGCTCCTGGGACGCCAGATTTCAGGTGGAGAAGGGCAGAAAATGTACCTAGAAAGCACTCCTTTAGTGGTTGCCCTGGTGTCAAGGTAGCATTAAATGAAGATTCTACCTCCCTGGACATATACCAGGAGTTCATGACAGAGGAGCTCATATCTTATATAGTGGAGGAAACGAACAGGTATGTAGAGTTGATACACATAGCTTTATCCATAGTACTGGTATATTCAAAATAGTAAAGGTGACCACTTTCATACACAAACTAGTTAATTCCATTTGGTTGTTTATAGATTCGCTAAGACTAACGAGGAAGCTAGGAGGCACGGCCGGAAATGGCGACCAGTAACACCTGCCGAGTTGCATGTCTACCTTGGACTGAGGCTGTTGATGGGCATCAACAGGAAGCCACGGCTGTCCTTCTATTGGTCCAGGAACCCGGGGGTTGCCATGTCCATTTTCCCCTCCACCATGCCTCGGGAGAGGTTCGAACAGATCTCCCGTAATCTACACTTCGTGGATAACGAGGCAGACCATGATGAGGAGGACAGACTGTGGAAACTGAGGCGGGTGTTGCAGTTATTAGGGGACCGTTTCAAGTCGATCTTTGTCCCTGACAAGTCCATTTCTATAGGTGAATCTTTATGGAAGTTTCGGGGCCGCCTCAGCTTCACCACCTACAATCCCAGCAAGCGGGCCAGATTTGGTGTGAAGGTTTACAAACTTTCTGCCAGTGATGGCCCGGGTGCAGGATACACAGCTGTGTTCCGTATATACACTGGAAATGATAAGGGGTCCATACCATCATCCCAGAAGGCAGTAGTGGACCTGATGGAGGCAGGCGACTTCTTCTGGAAGGGCTACACAGTGTATGTGGATAACTGGTACACTTCTCCGGTTTTATTCCATTTCCTGCAGTCCAGGAAGACTGGTGCTGTTGGGACAGCCCGTCTCAACTGCCGCCACATGCCACGTGATCTCCAGGTCAAGAAGCGGGGAGACATGGACTTCCGAAGCTCTCCAACAGGCATGCTGGCCTTGTCATGGATGGACACAAAACAAGTCAATATGCTGAGTACAGTCCACACATCGGGCATGGCAGAGATACAGCGTCAAGGAGGTCTGCGGGTGAAGAAGCCGCTATGCATCATCGCATACAATGATGGAATGAAAGGCGTGGACCTGGGTGACCAACTGGCTAATTCGTACCCTTCAGTGCGCAGGTCGCTGAAATGGTACAGGAAGATTTTCTTTTACCTTTATGACCTGGCAACAGTTAACAGCCATGCTGTTTACAAGTACCTTGGCCACAGAACAACACAGGTGGATTTCCGGCTGGACCTGGCGATGACTGTGATAAACCATTTCCTCCCAGATGTCGAGCCATACAGCAAGAGGGGGCGACCAGCAACTTTACCTTCCCCTTCCAGGTTTCAAGGCAGGACGCTCCACGTAGTGAAGGAAATTCCAGGAAAGAAGTACCGGAGATGTTTCCTGTGCTACAGGGCAGGGAAGAGGAAAATGACAAGAACCATCTGTGCAGGATGTCAGGTGTCCCTCTGCACATATGGATGCTTTGAGAGGTACCACTCTCAAAAGAATTTATAAATGTACATAGTACAATATGTACATGGTAATAAATGATGATGGGCTTGATTCTGTTTCGTGTTCTCCTTTTTGTAAAAGAAAAAGGCAGCCAAGCCCACAATCTGACCTCATATAAAAAATGAAGCTGCTTTTGAGCATCATAAAGGTGCTAGTTTCACTTCTGATTTTCTTCTCTTTCCCAAGTGTTGTACAAAAGAAAAAAGCAAACTACACAGTTTGACCCCTCATAAAAACTGATATTTTTGAGATTCAAAAAGGTACTGGATTCACTTCGTTTTTTTTTTTTCTTCTGTGTTGTATGACGGGAATGAAATCCACAGATTGACCTTTCATAAGGACAAATCACTACTAAGCATCAGAATGGCATTAGGGTTGCTGCTGTGCTTCATTTTTCCTTTATTTGCATTTGAAAAGAAAAAATGAGCTCAGTTCATACTTTGATCTACAAAAAGGCACCATCTTTTAGTGTCAAATTGGTGATGTCATCTCCTAATATGGAGAACTTGAAGCTTAAGTGCTTTAGTGTCTTCCTCCAATACAAAGGCGAAAGGATGCATAGACCACACCATGCAAAAGGTGCAATATCTAAACATTCCTTATACAGAAAATAACAATCCTACATGATTGTGGCTAGATTCCTGCAAAATTGATGTGATTGTCTTTTCTTGGCTGTGCTGTGTCAGAAAAGATCCTTCAATGAGAGCCCTAGTGGCTGAAAACTAAACCAGTTAGTGAGGCGATTGGATTGATTTGCGAAACACTTTATAATGATAAGGTATGGAATCAATAGATTGACTACTACTGAATCCCTTTTCTTCTGTAAAATATTTATCACTAAATTGCATATATAACTAGAAGCACTCAGAGAGTGCACACCTCCACCAAGGCAAGAATGTCACTTGTGCAATGAAAATTATCACACTTTAAGAATTACATTAAAATAACCTCTTTCTCATGTACATTGGTGATGTCCATGTTTCCCTATCTCACAATGCAAATGAATTCTTTAAAACGGATCATGATCTGGATCATGATCCGTTCGCTGCCAAAATTTAATGGCATCTAAGTTGGGCCAGGGTACACATCTGGTAAAAATTGTATAAAAATCTTTTTAAGACTTTTTGTGTTATCATACTGACCAACTAACAAACTAAAACCAATGTTGCCAAAAATGTAACCACCTTGGCAGAGGTAATAAAATTTGATAGAACAACAACCATTTTGACAAACCAATTAGTATGGTCGTCGTCTTGTAACTTTTATCACCAGAATACCTTGAGCAGTGATGTAATGATGTGGATCCTAGAGACCAGTTGTAGAATTTAGTCACTACAATTACAGACTTCCCATATTTACAAGAATTCAGTCTTGCCAGTTTATGGTTGGTTAACCTTTGCTCGAGTCCTGTAAGTTCAGAATCTGTATTATTTTTTGCTGTGGCCTCTCTTAGGTATCTTGCTAAAAGAAATGCATCTCAGTAAATCTTATGGTTACAGGTGAAGGGTGTGAAGCAAAGATGTTGTCAGGTGGTCACGGAGAGGTCAACCCCAACTCGTCGTGGCACAGCAGCCGCGGAGCATGGCTCTCCTACCTTGCTGGAGTGCTAGCTCTGCATCTCTTCCTCCTTTCCATACCCATTCTGTCGATACCCACGGCATGGACTCTTACCAATGTCATACACAACCTGGTGAGTGTCTCTTATCAGGATATAATGGACAACCTGCATTTGTAAATTCTATACTTTACACAGAAGTAAGGAACCTTTTTGAATGTTTGCATGTTAGTGATTTCATAATGATATGGATTTGTCAGGAGTAGAAATTATGTCCTAAACCTTTGTAGAAATATGTGTACATGCATATAAAAAAAAAAAAAAAAAAAAAAAAATATATATATATATATAAAAAAAAAAAAAAAAAAAAAAAAAAAAAAAAATATATATATATATATATATATATATATATATATATATATATATATATATATATATATATGTAGTCAGACAAATATTTATTTACATAGAAGTATATATACTTGCTTTGAATTTTCCTGTCATCATTATTACAAATTATATACAAAAATAATTGAATATGACATATTGCAGGCAAACTACTTGTTCCTGCATCAGATAAAGGGCACCCCTTGGCAGCTGCTGGACCAGGGGAAGGCCCGTCTTATGACTGCTTGGGAACAAATTGACTATGGGCAACAGTTTACCACTACCCGTAAATTCATCACCATTATTCCTATTGTCTTGTGAGTGCTCTGTAATTTGTGAATTTTACTTTTTGGGCGTATTAATTTTATCCTCTTATAAGTAGTTGTATTTAAAAAAAAATTCTGAGGTCCCTCTGAGAAGAGATGCAAATTGTAAACATTGAGTCACCTGATTACTTCTACTGTTTTTTTTTCCTCCCCATTTTAAGCAGACAGGTTATCAGCTCATTTAGGTACATTTTTATTGTTTTTGATTCCTTGTAACATTAGGGACAGATCAAGCTGTGCTAAGTTAAGATGTGTCTCACAAAAGTCCCTGCTACAAAAAGGATAAATGGCTATGGTAGCAAGTAGGAAAATCTCTGATATTCATATCCTGCTCTGTCCCACAACCTCATATGACCTATATAGTCACTTTGGGAGGTGAAACTTATCTATACTGAAATCACATCACAACTGAGGAAATCATGAGTCATCACAGAAAGCATTTAATATTCCGTCAGACTCTTACTTTAGGAAGAATTTCATTGAATGTTAGTATTTGGTAATCTTTCCTTTAACACTGAGGTATAAGACATGTTTTGCAAGGTAATGGTCAACAGTAAAATGTTGGTGTAAATTACATTAGACTCATTTCAGACATCTCTTCCTTTCCACAGTCTGAGAAGCAGTGTGCATAGCTACTTGCATGCATTAGTTTTATGCAAGCTACTGTTGCCAGATACTACTTAAATAGCAAATTCCTTGACCTCTGTAATTATAACTTAGAACTCTTGGGACTGCACTAAATGCAAATCAATTGTAGGGAGTCTCAGTTTGCTGTTTTATCTGATGATGCCTTAAAAAAAAATCAATTTACTCTGTATTACGGGTTAGGATTGGAAAGTTTAGCTAATTTTGTACTTTCATGGCCAAATAAAGTAGACAGACAGATTTTCAGTATCATGACTCACTGCTTGGTCAGATATGAATTGTGATGTTATAGAGAACAGTTTTTGGGTAAACTGTATAGTAAGTATTTATTTAATGTTTTGATTTTTTATTACTAAAATATTTCTAGAGTTATTAATTTTACTATGGTAAGGCACAGTTCAACTGGGCTTGTGTACATGCAGGTCCGGCCGTAAGCTCAGCTACTTGGGATGGACCATGTGACTTTGGTGCAAAATCTGAGGGCTGAGGGGAGCTAGTGACAACCTGACCTGGAGCATTCTTTTTCTTTGGGTATCTCCAGGCTTTCCAGGTTGCAATTAAACACTTATTGTCTGTAATTCACTTAAAGAAATTATCAATATCTTCAAGTATCTATAAAGTCAATAAAAGTTATATTAGAGTGTTTATGTAAAACATTTAGAGGTAATTATCACAATTTTTTTTTTTTTTTTTATTGCCAAAAACAAATACACAAGAAATGCTGAATTTGAAACTGAGGATCTACATTCACATTGATGGCCCATCAGACTGATGTTAATTTTGAATCAATAAATCAAACAAAAAGTACTATGTAGGGGGTAGTATTCTAGTGAGAGGCATGTGCTGTCTGGTATGGCAGTGCTTTTCACAGTTGAAACACTACGCCTGGCTGGGTACTCAGACACAAGTTAGGTCCTAGATGAAGACAAGGCCAGTTGAACTGCTTCTTTTCAGGTTGTCAGAAAACATGAAGTCTAAATTTGTTTAGGGATAACTTATTCTCAAGGTGGAGCTTAGGGCTTTCTCATGCTACAGTATTCTCCTTCTCTTTCTCTCCCCTTTCCTTTTTTCTTTTTCTCCTCCTCCTCCTTGGTCTTCTTCTTCTACAGAATTAGAAATGATTATACTGTTTTCAGTAGGATATAATGAATTTTCTTTTTCTTCCTTTTCCTCTTAAGTCTTGGTGGTCTCTCAAGTTGGGACAAAAATAGAATTGACAGAAAGAGAATACTGATAAGAATTATGTTAAGGTACTTCATAAATTGTTTACTTAAAAGAGCTTCTTAGTTATTATTAAGAACAGATAAATAACTAGTCTGTGTTATCTTCAACAGGTTTCTTCTGACAAGTTTCTACACAAAGTATGAGTTTAACCACTTTGCAATCAACTTTGCCACACTGCTTCTTGTACTCATCCCCAAGTTGCCGCAGTTCCACATGGTGCGTCTCTTCGGTATTAATAAATACTAAAGATATGCTTGCCATATCAATATTATGGAACCTGCATCGGGCTGTTATCTCAGCCTCTGCTTTCACATTTCCTTAAGCTGTCGGTATTAACAGAACCGTCTTGCTAAGGAGCTAATTTCACCACCTGAGCACCAGTGCCACTATGACTCGAGCCAACTCTCAGAGATGCTGCTGGTACTCACATCGTAAAGGATAGATGGTACCAGTATTGAGCTGTGTTTATTCATGATGATTGGCAAGCAGCCTGGATATTACCTGTTGGACTTAATAGTGGCATTTGGCCATTCCTAAAACGATTCCAGATTTTGTATCTGTATTATATTGCCATCGTCAGTAGTTGGTCACTTGTGTATATATAGATTTCACTTCCTGCTATTGTAGTAGTCTTTAGCAGGTCATTAAGAATTTTGTTTGATCAACAAAGGTATTATTTCATGTTATCCTTTATTATAACTATTCTGATCAGTCTCCTTAAAGAAAAGCAAACTGTTCTTGATAAAACCTGGTCTAGATATTTGCTTTTCTTTTGCTGAACTATGAAAATGCTTGAGGAGGAAGAGTTAATGTTTGGATTGAAATAAGCATTGATTGTATGTTTTTAAAACTAAATAACCATTTTGAGTTTTAGCTTGATTTGATCAAATGTTTAAAATAAAATAAAGATAAACCAGATATCATTTTATTTGAAATCAGAAATTGTTATATTTATTGCCAAAATCATCATTAGCAATATTAGATGCATTTCAATGGACAGTGGTCACCTTTAATCTATCAATGTCCCATTTCAAAGATACACTGTTACATATTGAATTGTACATTGTATCATTTACTAATCATGTATGATATTGTCTGTGTGTGTGGGTGGTATATATATATGATATGCACTCTGTTATTTTATTTAAGGATGTATATGTTTCTTAAATGGGTAATATATTTTTATTTAGATTTCA